TAGTGCTGTTATTTTGCGTTTCTGCTTTGATTAGCTGTGAATAAGCTTGACTGTACTCCTCTATTGGCTACTACCGAGTAACCGGGAATCTGCACCTAAAAGTGTCGATTCTCGCGTCAAAAGGTGGTACTTGATATGAGTATGTGGTTGCATAGCGGTAGGAGCTGAGTAACCGGGCTCCTTCATCTAAAAATGTTGGAGTTCGCGTGAAAAGGCTCCGGCGGCTAGAGACTAAGTCTCCTTGGGTCAAATATTACTATGTCCAAAAAAAAAAAAAAAAAAAAAAAAAAAAAGAGAATAAATAATAGGGAAGCTTGCTGGTTTATGGACTCAATATGGGGACTTGTGTGAAGATTTGGACCATTAGCTGATAAATGCTGTGTGTCATTCCTTTTCCTTAGACTAGTTAATTTGGAATTTGAAGGAGTTTTGCGGTAGAGGCTAACTGGGGGATGTTTCTCGGATTTTAACTACTAGTGCCCGATATATGATTTTCTTTTGAATCTCTCGGCAATGTGGTAGACTAGAGTGATGACCACTGTCAACTTTTTGGGGTCTGCCCACTCTTCTTATGCTTGAGGGCAAGCATGATTCACGTGTGGGGGGAATTGATAGGGTATAATTTGTTAGTAATTTTATTATTAATTTCCCCTTCTATCCAGGACAAATATTGTGTTAATTGTTGATATTCACTCATATTTGGTATTTGGACCCAATTCCAGGAGTGGAGCAGATAAGTACAAAAAGAGGGACTTTTGGATGCAAATTTGGGAGACTTTGGCAGAGAGAACTTGAAGGCTTGGGCCTTTGACTTCGGTGGGGACCACGGAGGAAAGGACAAAAAAGGCTTTGGTCCTTTGGTTCTTGAAAAAAAAGCAACGTACAAAAGCCTAAGAGGACTAAGAAGAAAGGCGGTAGCTTGTGACCAATCAGTGGGGACCGCTGGATATCTTTCTTTTGTTTCTTTTTAAAGGCAACTAACGTACGGAGGCAGGGGACCGTTTTTTAGTTCAGCTTCTTAGCCTAGTCTTTAGTTTTTAGTTTTTCTTTCTTTTTTCCTTTGACTGGCCTCTGACACACGCCAGGTGTTCGACAAAATTCCCCAACGGGAAAAACATCCTTCATTCCTTACTTTTTAGCCAAAAACAATGCCTTCGCAATTTATTAATTCGTGTGGTGACTTAATTATGCGGCGTGGCTAAATCTTCCATCTAGTCAAGGGTCAACTCGACGGCGCAGTCCCGAAAATCTGTGAGATCTAATTAGTTTTCACGCGTTCCTTAATTTATTCATATTTGCACGTTGCCTGCTTGTATTTTCATGAGATTATTTTATTAATTGGATGTCAAGGGCCCGATGTTCAATGTGATTTATTAATCTCGTGCCAATTTAGTCAATTAAATCCGTAATTGTTTGTTTGATTAATATTAGTGGCAACTGGTGTGTTTACACATTAGGGGAACGTGCGATCTAATTTAAATAACCCTCGTAGCGTGTTATTGGTTAGGGCTAGGTTTTTCTAATATTAATGCAATTGGGAAATTAATTCCTATGGTCGTACCTAGGAGTATTTGCTGATTAGGGGTAATCAACGGTCGTACCTTGGTTATCAATAATTTAAGGAAAAATTGGTCATCAGACTATAACTAGCCTATTAATGAATTAAGTGAACCTCTCCTGCATCAATGATCGGATAAGTGGACTGTGCCTGAGTAGTTGCATCCTTGGCTAGAATTTATTTATTCCTGATTAAATTCCTGCTATATTTGTGCTAGTGATTTATTCATTTTTAATTAAATTGTCTAATTATTTTTAGTTTCATTCCGATAAAATCCCCCCTTATCAATTGGACTTTAAAAAAGAGACAAACATCTCCAGTCCCTGAGGAGACGACCCTACTTGCCACTGTCTACTATTCAGTAATTTTTGTCAATTAATTAATACTGGTATATCGGATTAAGTAAACTCTTCGGGAACAGGGTGAATCAAGTAACCCATTGCACACCTAGAGTCCCTGCTCCAGTACCTAGGATTAATTATTGACTGCTTTTAGTGGTAGCTAGGTTCTATATTTATTACTATTATTGCACAGGCCGACGACCTGTCATATATGTATATTAAATAAATATTAATATACATATTATAAAAAAATTGAAATAAAAAATATTATATATATAAATAAATAAATATTAATATATAGAAACAGAGCTAGTATATATTTTAAAAAATCCCAAAAATAAAAATTTTTTAAAAAAGATTTTGGAATCAAATGTGGGATTCATCAAAACCCTCCAATCTAGTTGGGGATTGAGAGTGGCTGATTTTTCATGATTCATTCCAAGATTTCAAAACCCATACCCATTAGCCAAGCAACAATTTTGGGACTCAATCCAATTCTTGATTCCTATACCCTCCCACCAAGCACTTGAGTAATGGATCACGGAATCCAGCACAAGTTGATTAAGAAGTTGCTCAGTAATTCTTCTTTTCGATGTGGAACCGACGCGAATTTGTAATCTTCTTGGTCTCCAACACTGCACACTTTTGTCCTTTTATTTCAACCAAAAATTAAATAGTATTAGTTGTTTTCTATCTACATATTTCAAGGATTAATTTCACTTTACACCGCTCAATTATGCCTGAATTCCTACTTAAACCACTGAACTTTAATTATAAAGTATAATATTTGTCTCACTTTGGTCTTTTAATGTACAAATTCTGTCCTATTTTAATTCCTAAATTATAAAATCTATTTCACCTTAATCCTATAGAACGATATTTGTCTCACTTAAATATAATATCTGTCTCACTTTTGTCATTAATTTTACCAAAGTGGGACAAAATTTTTATTTTAAGGACTAAAATGTCTCATTTTAAAGTTTAGGAATCAAAGTAAAAATCTGAGCATGGGTAAAAGGTGAAAAGTGGAATTAACCCTATATGAATTAGAGGAATGTGTTTTATTTTTTATTACCATTGTTTGGATGTATTATTTAGAATAATTACTTTAGTACATTTTGTGATGTGATGTATGTGAAATAAAAAGGTGATTGGAAATATAAAAAAGTGGGTTAGAAAATGTGTTTATAATGCAAGCGAAATATATTATTAGAATAAAAGCAAAGCAGTTTGACGCGGTTGTTGGTAGTCATATGAAAAGATCCAAACTGTTTTCTGATGTTCTTGTTCGGCATCCAGCAGTGATTTTCATTCAATTCTGACCACCCACTCTATATTTTTGTATTCGAGCTAAAGAACTCGTAACGAGGCAAACAAAATTCCCAACCTTTTTCCTTTCTTTTGCTGGAAAAAATGCAACAATTTTTTTTTTTCTAAAAAGGACTGAAATGCATTGTCAAGTTAGAAGTGCAGAAAGTGCACTTCATTTATAAGTTTTGTGGAGCCAAGAATTTCAGAAGAAGATAAGGCCCATGTGCAAAGTTACAAAAGAACACAACGGAGAGATACAAAAACAGAATCTGTTCTTAATGAAGTTTCCAACTCCTAAAGACAGCTCAACAATTAGTGTCCCATTTGTAATTCTTGACAAATGATAAATAATAATACTTTATGGCTTTTCCAATCTGTTCCCCACAAGATAATCCTATCAAGAAAGGGGGTGAGCTGAACGTGAAAGCTTAAAATTATCACACATCGCCTAAATGGTGTATATTTTTGCAGAAAAAAAAATGAGAATTTGATTTAAATAATTGTTTTCAAGGCTTTTCTGAAAACTATTATATTTTAGCACCTTTATTAATAAATAAATTCGTGAGATAAATAGATAGTAGATTAACGTGTTCAAAATTTTATTGTGAAGCATGTTTATGAATACCATGACTTAGACAAATTTCTTATACTTTAAATGCATGTCACGATGAGGAATAGATTCATTCTATTTCTCGGTGATTTAGTGCACACACTTTTTATAGTCTTTTCAACCTTTGTCCACACGTTGTAAAGTTTTACCACATTAATATAAATTACTAGTCATCTAGAGCTGGGATCAAAGAGTCAGCCGTGGATAAGAGAAATCCCATGTACACTTGATCTTTTATGAAAAAATAAAATAAAAAGGTAAAGCAATTATTAAATATTTAATAAGACTTTCTTACTAGTGCCTGAAAGGCTCTGATTCAGGCACCGGTTAATCAATTCCCACATCTTTGATTCAGGTAAGAAGATTGGAAAATAATTGTGATTATAAGGATTAAAATCTTAAACAAACCTTAAAAATATCCTAAACTGACCTGAATATTTGTCTCCGGTCTAAGATAACTCTCTTTGGAGATATGATAGGTAACGCGTTTTTGCAACGGACAAGTTGAGACCGTCCTTCCGAGTAAACCGATGTCATTGAATCTGAAATTTCAGAGCAGCTTCCTTTCCTCGAGCATTTCAAATAGTACTTAATAGATTCACCATTAATTCAATAGACGAATTAGAGGTTTTTCAATTTCGCTTAAAATCTTAGAGGAGTAGGTAGAGCAGTCTATTCCCAGGTATGGAATCCAATTACCAAATACCCCTTCAATTGCAAATAGTTAATGTAAGAAACGTTTGGGGATCTACCGTCTCAATACCTTAGCAACAATAATTAAATAAAAGTTGGCTGGGAAGACTCAAGTAAGTCGTCAACTCCACTAAGAAAACAAGTAGTATATAAACAATGTATAACCCACCAAGGGAAGAAGGAGCTAAGAGATCCATCCCATTGTATATTAAATAAAAGTTGACTGGGAAGACCAAGTCGTCAAGACCAGCATGTTGGTGTAGCATGAAAACAAGTATGTAACAATGTTGTAGGAGTGGTCCTAAGTAACCAATCTGGTTGTCCGCCTTTGTATCAACCTTCTATTTGCAACCAAATATCCTTTCCAAATCATATTAGTATTATTCTATCGTTGCAATGGCTGAATTGTTTGTTCCAAAGATAATAGGTGAATTGGGTGATGTTGCCGTGAAGCAGTTTGGGCGAAGGTCAACTTGGTGATGGGGTCGAAGAAGAGGTGACAAATATCTCCTCTAAGTTGGCAACCATTGAAAAAGTGCTGCATGATGCAGAGAGACGAAGGCTGAAGGACAGAAGTGTTGGAATTTGGCTAGAAAAGCTCGAGGACATAACATATGAGATGGATGATGTGCTGGACGAATGGAACTTCAAGATTCACAGAGCAAAGAATGAGGGAACTAGTCAGAATGCCAGAATGCAGCCTACACTGCAGAACAAGGTTCGTTCCTTTATCCCATCCCTTTGTTCTTGTCTCAAACAAGTTCCTGTGCGTAGTGATATAGCTCAGAAAATAAAGAAAATAAATGAACAGCTAGAATTAACTTTGAAAGAGGCAGATCAATTCAAGTTTATTACAAGTGGGGGGATTCCTGATTCTCAAGATTTTCAGCGAATTATGACTACCTCAATCATAGACGAATTAGAGGTCTATGGTCGAGCAGCTGATATGGAGAAGGTTCTTGACCAAATTTTGTCCAAGAGTAGTAGTCAAGGAAGAGATGGGGTTCAAATTATCTCTGTTGTAGGGGCCGGGGGTAGTGGAAAAACCACACTTGCCCAGCTGCTCTTCAATAATGATAATGTGAAGAACCACTTTGAACTTAGAAATTGGATCTGCATATCAGATCCTTTCGACCAGAAAAGGGTCGCGAAAGCTATCCTTGAGAATGCTGGAAAAAGTTCTCATGAAGCAGAGTTGGATCCGTTGATCCGACGTATAAAAGAAACTTTTTCCGGCAAGAGATTCCTGCTTGTCCTAGATGATGTTTGGACAGAGGACGACTCAAAGTGGAAACCTTTCAAAGACTCTCTTAAGGATGGGGCTCCCGGAAGTGTAATCTTGGTAACAACAAGGAGTCATAGAGTGGCCACAGTGGTGGGATCGACTGATACTCACGACCTAGGCATGATCTCTCACTCTGATTGTTGGTTAATAATGCAAAAGATAGCGCTTGCCAGAAAATCAGGGGACTTATGCAAGAAGGTGGAAAGAATTGGGCAGAAAATTGCAGAAAAGTGCAAGGGCTTGCCACTTGCAGCAAAGACTATGGGAAGCTTGTTACGGTTCAAAGATACCGTACAGCAGTGGCAGAATGTTTTGGACAGTGAGATATGGCAATTGGAGGAAGCAGCCGTGGAACTTTTCCCTCATTTGTATTTAAGCTATAACGAGTTGTCCCCGGAGCTGAAACGTTGCTTCTCATATTGTGCTGTCTGGCCCAAAGATTGTGTGATAAATGTAGAAGACCTTATTAGGCTGTGGATAGCACAAGGTTATGTTCGCCCAGGACGAAGAGGTGAGCGCTTGGAGCTGGTGGGCCGTGAGTACTTCAACAATTTGGCGATGCGTTCCTTTTTTCAAAATTTAGGAAAATATGGTCATGAATATGGCGAGTGCAAGATGCATGACATAGTGCATGATTTTGCACAATTTCTCACAAAAAATGAATGTCATACACTTGATGGAATTGGAAGAAATTCATCTAGTGAAAGACCACGTCATCTAACAATTTGGGAAGAAGGCACTGAGGAGGAGATGTTTAGTTCTCCAGTCGTTGATTTTGGAAGGCTCAGGAGCTTTTTTGCTTTTGGTCGAATTGGAAGAGTAATAGTTCCCCAAAATCTGTTTTGCAGTTTGAAGTGCGCGAGGACTCTGGCTTTAAGTGGTTGTGGGCTAGCTGAAATCCCAACCGAGATCGGAAGGTTGATTCATCTTCGGCACTTGGACTTAAGTGATAATCCTTTCATTACAATGCCAGAAGCTATATGTGATCTATATTATCTGGAAACTTTGGATATCGGTTTTTGTGGAAAGCTTTCGTGCCTTCCTGAAAGGATTGAAGACCTTGTACACTTGAGGCACCTTATCAATGACGCGACCGATGAATTACGTCAAATTCCACAAGGACTCGGGAAGCTGACGTCACTCTGTAGTTTGACTCGGTTCATCGTCAGGTGCAACTCTGATGATTTGGCAATTCTGAAGGACCTGAACCAACTGGAAATATTGCACGTTGTAATTGAAGGAGAAGTAGATTTTGGGAGTGCGGAACTTGGCAAGAAAGTCAATGTGCGTGACATGTATTTGCTCTCTAGATTCGAGGCCCACTTTATAGAAACTCCATGTTGCATTGAAACCATGGAACCACCTCCAAACTTGGAAGAACTTGAGCTAGCTGGCTATCCAAGAGCCCAGTTACCAAGTTGGCTTGTGACGAAGTCTCACGCCGATAACTTGACAAAGCTAGTTATTGCTAGGGCCCGCAACGTCTCATCCTTACCTGCCTTGTGGAAGCTATCATCCCTAGAAGTGCTTGTGCTCACGGAAGCGGAAAAGATGGAATGTTTGGGTAAGGAATTCTTCGGAGTTACAAAAGCACTACATGAAAATAGTCGTGATGCTCTTGATACATTGTCAGACTCCGAGTCATCATTCTCAGCTGAAGCAGTGGCATTTCCAAATTGAGAAGTTACATTTTCGCCGCTTCCAAAATTGGACAAATTGGGAAGACTTAAGTGAAGATGATGAAGAAGTTGCTGTCTCTATCATGCCACATCTAGAGGAGCTAAAAATTTGGGACTGTGAAAAGCTTGAGATTTTGCCACATCGCATCCTCAGGATATCTCTCAAAAACTAGAAATTAGTCAATGTACAAAGCTCGAGACTCTGCCACATCACATCCTCGCAATACATCATCTCTCAAAAATTTGGATATTCGACGTTGCGACAAGTTGAGGGATCGTTATTCTGACAAAACAGGAGATGACTGGATAAAGATATCACACATTCCTCGAGTTCACATATCTGACGAATATTATTAATCTGCTCAGGTATTGTTATTCACACATTTTTTTTATGTATCATCATCTTTGAAGTCAAATAATTACTATGTATAGAATTACAACAAACAAAGGCCTGCTTTGTGGAATATGACGTGCTTAATAATGAATCAAGGGTTGACAGAGCCATATGTATAATGAAAATATGAAGTATTCATTAATAATTTAGAGTGATTTTTTTTTATTGAGAAGATGCAAGTCATTAACTAGTAAATACAACACTAAATTTCTAACAATATCTATCTGTAAACTCTTGAGTTTGGGATTCCATTTGTCTTCTCTTTTTTTTTTTTTTTTTGGTTGCTTTTGTCCTTTGTTTTCCAGATGATAATCATTGATGGCTCAAAATGAAGCTACAGCAGAAGGCATTGGGGATCAATCTCTACGTCAACTTTTCACTTGGGTTCATGTAAAATTTCAAATAATTGTAAATATGGTTGAAGAGGCACATCCAGTTGCTTTGTTCAAAATCATTTGCTGAAAGCATATGTACCCTTACAAATTTCCAGATTGAATTTCAAGTGATTACACAACCAGTCTTTATTTCTTCAAATTATTATTGTCCTATTGTATGTAAGTTTGTGTAGATTTAATAAAAAAGAAAGTTTGTACTTCATGCTTATCTATATATTGTATTATTGACAATCTATTATTAGCGCACCTATTTTATGGTATTATTTTAAAAATAATATAAATTCAAATTTGAAATTGAATAATACACATGAAGCATACATCCAAAACTGTTAGTAATAAAAAAAAATAACTATATTATGAATGTATAAAAAGTTAATCCTTATTCTAATGGTTAAAAGTTGACAAGTTGACAAATTATTCCCAAAGAAATTCCAAAACTTTCATAATTGAAGTCACTATCTCTCAAGTAGACATTACCTAATAAAAAATTCCATCTCTGGAGAGAAACAAAATTGGTACTTCCCGTTCAGCTTCCAGAAAATCGAAATATGAAAGAATTCCCAAAGAAACAACAGAACCTTGCCCAATGCTGCTAGATTGCTACTTAAGTTACCACGCTTGACTAGAAACTAGCACTAATTTCACCAACAAGTTTGTTTACAAATTAACAAAAATCCCCACAAACATCAAATTAGAAACCAAAGTAGTGCCCACGACTGAATGCATGCAGGGAATTACAGCACAAAATCTTTGGAGTAAGGAATCCTACTCTGCCTGCTGAGAAGGATTCAGAATAGAAGAATTACAACAGTACAAAGCTCTAATGTTGGTCGACAGCACCTGCTTCCTAAAATTTCAGATGGTGTTCAAACAAAGAAGCCATTTCAATCTACAATACAACTCAAACAAGGAAACCAATTCATCCTTGGTACCGGATCATGAATAGACATTATTAGAGAGGAAAATGCCGATCAGGAACATTTATTTCTAAAATATGGTACAACTCATTATTTTGTCAGACCCAAGATACAAAATGAACATCATGCCATTAAATATGCTATGACAGCAAAAACAGACTCTTCCTGCGAAAGTTTCTTACTCATAAGATCATGACCTAAAGAAGGACAAGATTATGAGTAATGATCAACCAGAATTTGATTTAGAAAGCTACCGATAACTACATGCACTGTCATAAACTAGATCCAACTCCAAACTAATAAAAGCTAGATATTTTAGAGTCTGCTGAGAAACTCCCAACATCACAGAGAGACCCACCAATGGTCGTTATGGAGTTCAATCCCTTATTTGCCTTATAACTCCCATTTTTAACTCAAAAAATAATTTATTTTGGATGATCGATACCTCATTGCTTAAGTAAGAAGGCCCTTTCCAAGCATTCCTATTGGCTGTATTATACTAAATTATATTGAAAGAAGGCCAGTTACAAGGGCAAAACCCTGCAGAGATGGAGAAATTCATCAAATCACCCCTTTCCAATGCAACCAAACCAAAAAGAAAAACAGAAAAGGTTCTTTATTGATGACATTTGATTTAAACAGAACTCAAACTAGATACTATTCACAAAGTAAACAATTTGGCAGACAGCAAATAAATACTCCATGGAGTAAAACGACAAGAAAATGAAGAGACAAGAAAGCAACTCAACAAAATGAAATTGACTTACAACTATCAGCACTGCTTCAGTACCTTTATTTCCGGACTTACCACCAGCTCGATTGAGAGCCTGCATTTATCATAATGTAACTTTAAGAAATGGGATACCAATGGGAAAATTTGTAGAATACTGGTAAAGATCAGGGCAACAATTTTCGTCAGCATAGAAATTTGACCAAAAATTACCCACAGGAAGATTATCATATTCAGCAACATGACAATTATATGATGAGCTCTTTTATGATTTTCAATGCAATAACTCCCATGCAAAAGAGTATAGGAGATCAGAAAGGTCAGCCATGAGTTTTCATTGAGTTGTATTAAGCAAAAGAGAAATTTCATGAATTTACCTGCTCCATGTCATCATAGGTCAAAACACCAAATATGCATGGAACACCTGGAATTCATTGAAAGGAAAATTAAATATTTCACCATTAAGCCACTGTAAATGTTTTGAGACTGCATTCCACATACAGAGTTGTCTGTATTTGAAACACAAAAATGAAGTTATAAGTGTGCACACAACGAAACAAGTTGATGATTCCTAAACACTTCAAGTACCAGTTATGAGGTATGTATCCGTAAGTTCCTACACTAAACAATTTTCTCATCTTCTGACATTTGAGAATATAAGAACCTCTGCTTCTGTGTCTATGAGCACAAAATGGGAAAAACGGGTACAACCACTATGCAGTGCACTTATTACAAATCAGACAATTTCAAAGTGGTTCCAAGTTGCAATAAACCATGAACATCTTTCAACAACACAAGATGAGTGCTTTTAACACAAAAACCATCTGTCAACTAGGCAAAAATTTCCATCATTGCTACCACCTATGGATCTGTAGTATTACACAGTTACCAATCTTTTGATTCCTTTCTTAACAAAACTTGTTCAACTAAGCTACTAACTCTTCCAATTGCATAATACAATATGCTAATGGAATTTAGTAAACTAAAGAACTTTTCAACCTTAAGACTAGTATGCTACACCGGAGGCGCTAAGAAAGAGCTTTCTTTAGTGATCCCAAATTAACAGCCACTTTCAAATTTTATTCTCAATCTATAGACAGTGGCATCAGACTAGGCTCCATTTGTAGCATACATGTTTGACATAAGTGTGTACTTTACAACCTTGTTCAGCTCAAAAGCGAAAAGCTCTGATTAGAAAGAAGTTATAAACAAATAATCCAAGGACGCTAAATATTAACATCATCAATATCCCAGTCTACGAAATCTAAGGCAGCTTAGTTATGAGAAAGACACGTAGGGAAAGAAAGAACGTTAGCATGATTAGAAACAAAAGTTACAAACAAATAATCCAGGTAAGCCAAATATTAACATCATCAATATCCCAATCTATCTCTCTCCATCTCAAGCTCCCTCAAATCTCTAACCAAATGTGATACGTTCCTCGATCAACACGACGTTTCGAGACACGTAGCACGTTTGCCCAAGGATCTAGCGAGGATGTCCAACGCTTGGAATTGCGGGATCTAGAACCAAACGGACGACACGATTTGATTCAAGACGGTAGACGACACTCCGATGAAGGTGAATACTCCAGGGGAATAGGTCGGTAGAACAATCTAGGACAGGACGCAAGACTGTTCAAAACCCTTGCCAAAGCAAGTAAAGGGGTCGAATCTCTCTCTCAAGAAGAATCGAAAATATGCAAAACTTTATTGATAAAACGACTACTCTTAAACCTTACAAAGCAAGCCTATTTATAGGCTAAAGTGACTAAAACCCTAAAGGGGCTAGGTAAAGGAAAAAGTCGGCCATGCTCTTGGAACAAGATGGGCCGGCCCATGCTCTTACTTAATCATTAACTAATTGCTAACTAATTGATGGGCCTAAGGCCTTATTCTCTTGGTGGCCCGCTTGACTCTTCGTGGGCTTGGATCATGGTGTAAATGGCTCGATTGTCTCTCTCCAAGCCCTCAATATCTTTGTGAACTCCATGTTGGTCTTGCAACAACTCTAACCGGAACTTGGAATGATTCTTTGAATAGCTTGGCCCATGCATGCGTGACTGGGCCAATGGGACTCGAAACATGTAAGTCATTGCGTGGGCTTTGACCCGTACACACATCAGTCCCTCTCTTGAGAAGGATTTGTCCTCAAATCTGGATGGGAATGAATGAGACTAACAAGAGTTGCCAGTATGACACCTCAAATCTCCACATATTGGCCCTCTTAGATTGATAACACTTGCATATGTTATGATTAAAATAATTCGGTGCACATGTCTCTTAGTCAGCTTCAAGGGCCTCTCGAACAAGGACATTCGCCAAGGTAAGAAAGGAACGTGTGTAAGGGCTTGTGAACGTTCCAGGTTGCAACACAAAGCTCTCCAATTTGTCTTCGAGTATGGGCATTCACGTGCACTTGATAACGATGTTCGTTGGACTAAAAAAGCCCGAATCTGGTTGTGCAAGATGGTACAGTTCGACCCTAGACATTGCTGAATCAACTCAACTTTCCAAGCTGGAGGTAGGACACTGAACCACCCGTGTTGTACACCCATATAAATATGACCCAGGGAGGTAGGGGTAGCATTCGGATTGTGATTGACACACTTGTGTGCATCACCCAACATAAGCGGTAGTAATGAAGTGAGACGCACTCCATACGAATCACATGCGTTCGCGCCATATGCATCTGGAACAAGTACGAAATCAGGTTGCAACTCTTTAGTCATAGTTGGGAAATTTTGGCCAGCTTTACAACCTACAAACACAAAATAACCTTCAACTTGAAACAATTCAGAAATTGGATAAAGAAATAAGGGAACATTATTAACTAAATAGTAAGAAGGTTTAGAGCAAGATTTAAATGTGAGAACTCCCTTTGACACTTCAATATTTCTTCCACCAATTGATTCAACTTGAGAGTCCAGTGCTAGTCCTTCCTCATCAAGATCTACGTAAGAGCAACAAGAGTTAGTGCTAGTAACATGCTCAAAATAAGGCAAAGGTGATGAATGAACCATAGGTAAAGAATAAGAAGTAGAATCTGGAATTTCCCTTTTGAGATGAGCTCGAATGAATCCTCCAATGGCGCGGACAGATTTGATTGGACATTGTTCCATGAAGTGATACCAAAGAGATTTAGTTCCTAAAAGATAAACTCCATGGAAACTCACAAAGTGTCCAAGTGACTTCGGGATGGAACATGCCATGACCAACTCTACTTGACTTTGTTTAACCTGCACAAACGAGGATATACTAAACAAAACACATGTAATCTGGTTAGCAAACAAAGTGTTCACACGTTCAATGTTTGCAGACATGGTCAACTCTTTTTCTTGACTCTTCACTAAGGCCAAATTGTTCTTGCTTATCCCCACTCCCTTCTTCTCGGACCATTGATCCTTCATTGCACTTGAGTTTTGTTTTTCATTGGGGAGCTCTTGTTCACGGCTCGGCAGCAACTCATTCGTACGTGGCTCTTCAATCAACGATGGACTAGACTGAATTTTTCCTTTATTACCACCGGTTGGCACATGGTTAAGTTGCTCCAAGTGTGAATCCAGCACTTGGCTAAGTCTTTCCATCATGTCATCAATCAATGCTTTAGTCCGACTTCGGAATTTTTCCTTTGATTCACGAAGCGTTGACTCAATTCGAGAATTCTCAAACTCCTCGTCTTGATTGTCAAGACGCTTCTTAGATGCACCTCGTTTGCTTGAAGTTGACCTCGATTTAGATGCTCTATGCAGACTTCTTTGCTCCTTCTCATACTCATCACAATCTTGTTTATACCTTTCATATACACACAAAGCACGGTGGCGTTGCATCTCCTCCCGGAGTGAATGATACCCACGTTGTGAACTGGATGGCATGGAACTAGAGTACTTGAGAGTAGTCTGCTTGGAACCCCTCCTCTTGAGAGGCTCATTCTCCAAGAATTCTTGGTTGTATGAGTAAGAGGCAACTCCCCTAGGCATGATTATGTGACCTGCAAAAATGGTTAGCAAAGAAAAGGAATTTTCCTCCCACACACAAGCTCACGTTTGTACACTCGACTCTCGTGTCTCACTCAGGCTGATGACACTCTAATGGTCTTACCATTACACTTACGTTGCCGGATTGAGTAACTTGAGCAATGCCGCACAAGGTCTAAGAATTGTTCACCAAGTTTCGCACAAGAGTAACCAACGAGCAAAGATACTTTGGACACGCTTGAGATACTGTTTTATGACCTAAATAA